TCATATGTATATCAATGGGAATCTTACAGTTCGGTCAACACTCCGAAACACTCATATGGACCGGAAATGCATTAATTGGTAAAATGACTATGCTCATTATTTTCAATACATTAAATAAATGATTTAACCTTTTATTTAATCCATAGGGTTCGGGTACAGTGCGATGTGGCCCTCATATATTGCATTTAGTGAGAAATATATTAAATTAAACGACAAAATTACATCAATATTTGCATTTGTTTCAAATACAATACCACTGATAAACCCCTTTATAATCGGACCCCTTATTGAGGAACACCCTCACATTTTCTTGGACCTGGAGTTCCTATACTTAGTCATTACTATACTATTATTCATTCCGTTACTATTTATTGCCAAAAGATCTCAGAGATATCCCGAAACATATACTGTAAATAAACCTGATAAATGTGTCCACAAGATTTAGCATTAATAAAATTTTTTAAAAATTTTTTCATTAATAAATTTGTAGATTTTTGTAAATAAATATATTCTTTTATAAGTTTATTAACAGATTAATTAAATAAAAAATTTATTATTTAAACCAAAACCCTTATGTTTTAATGTTTATTTAATTTATAAATACAGTATGTCTAATAAGTTTATTTTCGTTTAATTTAAGTGTATTTCTATTATTTTTTGTGTTAATTACCGTCAAATAAATTATTTACTAATTTATATGGGTTTAAGAAAATGTGATTGGCTTTCAGTTCCCAATAATAATAGCCATTTCGAGAACTATACTAATGTTACGATTATAACAGACATTCATTTGCGGACTAATACAGTAATGTGTGAAATTATACGGAAAATATTATATGTGGAGGGAATGGCAAATGTGTTGGTCATACAGGTCTAGACCACAGTTATACTAGAGTTGTAATACCGGAATCTATTACAGTCAACAAGAGTTTGATTCACTTTTTGTTCAAATTTCATCAAATGTTTACTTGTAATGCATTTCACTTGTTTATACTTTATTATTAATATACCTGTATATATCAATTACATAACAGTTTTGAAATAAAAAATAGCTTATTAATCTTGACAGCCAGACAGTATGAAAATATGTATACTTTTGAAGCACTTGTAACTCAATAATTACAAGACATACCACACACGATAGCTACTGTCTTGTGACACATAAGTGCCGTAAAATATCTATTCATATCTCAATTTAACTGATAATTATATTTAACAAGAAATCTTGCGGCATACCTCATTCATTGGTGATAAAAAATGTTAACTACCTAAAATATATCAGTATAAAACTTACATTAAATGCACGATTGTACAAGTACCGACAAGCTGGGGGCACAATTCAACTGAAACACTATAAATTTTTGTTACTTGCGCAAAAAATCATTAAACAATTAAATATTAATATAATCATATCATGAGTTTGGAGTCAATTATTACATAAAAGTACTCATAATTCACATTAGATCACTAAAATAGATAAAATTATTTCAGATTTTATTGTTATTTAATCTTTTTTTAATAGATAAGAGTTGGGCCATAACTGAAGACATAACACACACTTCAGATAAACCGCTTATGTATGCGATTAACGGAAACCATGACATCGGATGGCACTACGAGATGACCACACATTTGAAACACAGATAATTTGATGACACCTTCAACACCACATCCGTACGACTACTTCGGATAAATGGACTCAACTTTGTGGCCATTAATAGCATTGCAATGGAGTTCCTACTGTGACCTATGCTCGCGAGCGGAACTACAGCTCAAACACATCGCCCATACTTAAATAACTGTCCCACCGATAGCACCGGCTATTGTCAAACTGATAATAGACCTGTTGTGCTGACACACTACTCTCTATTCAAAGAGGGTTTACAAAAGTATGACAGTGATTGGGATACCAGGTCTGAGGGTGATCTCAATTGGACACTGGATGTCCAGAAGTGGAACTGTTTCCACGAAAACACCACTCATTTATAAATTACTTATTCAATAGGAATACGATTAGAGATTATGTGAGAATTTAGTAAAAGCATAGGTTTTCATATCTTGGGTTCAGTACATTTGTTTGAAACCATAAGACTGGGACATACATGTAGATCCGTTTAATATTAATGATTTAATTATACGCTCACAAAACTATATAAACCTATGAAAATGTAATGATAAAAGTACAGTACTACCGGTATAAGCATGTTCATAACAGTATAGCCACGGTATTCATAAATTATTCCCACCTTTTATTATTTTAATTTTGGATCTTACTTATTAAGTTTGAGTAAAGGTCCATAATTAATTATATAAATTATTCATAACATTTTAGATATTTTTATAATAAACTTTTAAGTGTTATCTTTACATAGTTTTATAATTAGGACCTTTTAAATACAAATACATATTCAAACGCTGTTTTATTTATTTTTATATAATACTAAAGTTATGAATATAAATTGCTTGCATTTACAATTGATTGAAAAATAAATTACAGATACTACTACATTTAGTAGTTAATGTTCACTTTTGGCAGTCCCTTAATAAGATTGTTAAAAATGTCAATTTTATACAGTATATGCATTTATACAGTATATTATGCACTAATACTACAGGAATTCATTTCGTGCACTTAATCTAAGATTTCAAAGGCTTAAGCATTGCTTATACAATCATTATATTGTGTTTAATTTTAATTGATTTGATTTGTTTGCTCAAGCATATAATGATTATTAACGTACTAATAAGCTATTACAATGTTATCGTGAAAATATGTTTAAATAAATATTAGTTTTCATTCAAGAAATATTAATATTAATAATTGTTTAAAATTCTAATAATCCAAATAATTCAAATAAGTGAATTAAAATTAATTAAAATGGACAAGGTGGATAGTAAGACAATAAACTATTATTACAGAAATATCCGTGGTTCTATAACTAATAGTCTCACAAATGCCGAGAAAATATTTATTGAAAATCTTAAAAATAAAGTCAATGATAGTAAAAGTGACATTAATAATAATGCCAATAATAAAAGTACATTTTTAAGTAAACTTCTCAAAAACTGGGATAAATATGTTTACACTATTTGTATACTTATAATGTACACCAATTATGTAATAAATTCTTTGAAAAAATTAAATAAATTATATTAATAATAAATTTAATACTAGGGCTTATGTAACAGTATATTTGCGCCGACGACTGTCGATATGATGTACTTATTTCACGAATCCATGTCTAGGATTCTGGTGGTCAACACAATGGCAAGTCTCGGATATTTGATTGGATCACTCGGTAAGGCATTTATTTTATTATAAATTACAAATTATATACTTTAAAAATGCTTACATATAATAAATAGTCTTAAATTTAATAATATCTATAAATTGACAAAAATAAAATTATATAACAAGTATAAAATACTTACTAATATAATTGAAAATATTAAAACTTGTAAACATATTTACAGTTGGATTTCTATACAAGTATATCAACCGGCAAATGACACTCATTGTGATGACCACTATATTAGGAATATTCACGGCTTTAATGCCGTTTTGTACGAATGTATACCTGCTATACATAAGTATGTTACTGAACTCAATAGGGTGTGGCGGTTGGGACAGTAGTAACGCTGTCTGGGTGTTTGAAATGTGGAAAGACAAGAGTCCACCCGTTTTGCAATTATCGCAAATGATGTTTGGTTTGGGCGCTATTTTGGCACCAATACTGGCCCGACCTTTCGTGAGGGGCGACATATCCAACACCACCACCGCAACGGTACCACCATTTGGCACAACTGTCCCGTCGGTCGATGAAAACATTAATTACTCGTTTGACAGACGACCGGAACTGGAGATTCCGTATATGATATCCGGAGGCTTTACACTAATAAGTAAATATATTTTCAAATATTTAATTATTTTTATATTATTCTTAATTAAAAGTTTTCCATTGTTAATTATTATTTCTATACTGTATTGATATAAAAATTTAGAAACCTTGATATTAACTAGCGTTATATTTATTTTTTGAATAGTTACTAAGTTTATCCAGTTCAATAAAACTTAAATAGTCATATGAGTGCTGATAGTATGGACTTTTAATCAAAACATAAATTCTTCAATTATTAATAAAGCTTAAAGTTACCTGTATTACTTTTTTACTGAACTATTTATACGATTATCTATTTATAGTACCGATAATATTAATGGTAATGTTTGTCGTCAAACGATACAAAGAGCCAGAAATACGGACAACAGAGTCGATAGACTACAACCTAGAGGCCACTAAATCGGTACAGTTAGAGCCAGGTGCATTACAAATCTTGGAGCCGTCCAGAAAGACCAAGATCATAATTGTGGCCCTCATAGCGCTCAGCTTAAACTCGTACTCCGGCTTTGAAATGACTTATTTCCAGAACAGTTCCACATATTATCAATACCTACCGATCCGTATCTCTGCCCAAAAAGCTGCAGATATATATACATTGATGACCTCCACCTACACTGCCGGCCGATTATTTGCAGCCTATATTTCCAGCAAATTAAAACCAGAGACCATGATAACGTATCACTCGATAATACTCATTATATCCATAGCGATTTTACATTTTGGGTCGTCATCTGAAATCTTAATCTGGATCGGTAATGGACTCATAGGTAATTGTATAACAATTACGATAGATTATTAATATTATTTAAATTAAATTATTAAATTAAAATAATATAAAATTAGATATATACAAAAATACGTAAATATTATTGTGCTGTAATAATATACTGTATATTTAATTGTGATTTGATTATAATAATTAAGTTTTTCTAATATTTTTCAGGGTTTGGATTCAGTGCCATGTGGTCAAGCTATTTTGTTTTGGCTGAAAATTATGTAAAACTGGACAATAAAATCACATCAATATTTGCGTTCACATCAAGTATTTTCAATTTGGTCTCCCCTTTCGTAATCGGACCACTCATTGAGGAGCACCCGGCTGTGTTTCTATACCTTGAAATGGCATATTTAGCCAATACTTTGCTATTATTTGTTATATTAATATTTGTTTGTAAAAGATCTCAAAGGTATCCAGAAATTTATACTATAACTGAAAAACAATTGTAACCTTGTATAATACGATAGTAAAATTTGTAAATTAACATAGATTATTATTATTAGGAATTAAATAAAAATCAATTTACTTTAAAAAGTTTACAATAAAATGTAAAAAGTTTGTTATGTTCAATGAATAAACAACAAAACTTACAGGTTATGACATTAACATTAACACATATTATATCATATAACTTATACTGTATGTAATCATACTAATGTCACATTATAATATTCTTTAATAAAATACAGTATTTACTTATCAACCTAAACTTAAATGTGTAAGGTTATAACTTTTAATATCAATAATTAGATTTTTATTAAATGCTGATGTGCCATATCTATACCATATTAATAGGATTAAATAACTTCAAATCGCTGAATAAACCTAATGTACTGAACAAACTATAAAATATATTTAGCAAAATATCAGTTAAACTTAATATACCGGTCAATTATTTTATCAAACAATAATAGCGTTGTAATCAGACATTCATTTGGTCCATTTCAATACAGGTCTACATATTTGGGCACATATAAGGGCTCATTCAATAAATATGTACGCACTATGTGTGTGTGTGTGATCATCATGGAGTATTTGGAAAACCTTGAACCAGTA